TTCATATCTCTTACAACGGACAAGTTAGTATTCTACATGATATTATAAGGCAAAGTATTCTTTCAGCATTCGTTCATCGGGATGCTGTGGGTGAGGAACTGTAGTTGACATTAGAAATGAGTGTGCATCTGTGGTATGGTAAGCCAGATATTACTAGAATGTAACTAATACGGTAGCAGGCACAAGCACAGGCACACAACCACGTGTTAGCACTGGAGAATAGGCTTTACCTTCACAAGACGATGCTCGTTTTAACTCGGTACAGATTTGTAAGAAACATGCAGATTGTGAGAGTTAAGCGTCAAGCGTGCTTACTCTAACTATATGTGTAACTAACCACAAGAAGCTGCTAAAGCCAGGATGATTCCATCTCGTCATAGCATCAGGTTGGAAAGACAGACATATTATGGTTCCTGAAACAATGCCCTTTTAGGCTTATTTCAATGGCCACCATCCCGGCTTTATCAGTGTAAGACCATACATCGCCTATATACTGACCTTTCACCTGGGCCTTTCCTTCGTTATCTAGCAGAAACAAGCACCCATGAAACATGAAAAACTTCGTGTATGTTACAAGGATCAAACTGGCATTATATATTCTGGTTCTAGTGCAGTGGAGATGTCAACCAAGACATGCACATATGTCATTTCCTGCAGCTACATTTATGTATGTAGTCTAAAGAATGCCTACGTGGACGCATACTTCAGTTCAATAATAAAACTGTTGATACTCACAAATGAGTTCATTTTAACATTACGGGACAAACATCACTCTCCAACAGAGATTTATATGATGCTTCAGCCTCAACCTTATCCAACAATAAATGTGAAGTCCTAATTTCTTTCCCAGCTGACCTGAAGATAGACATGGTACGTACATATACAGATCCACCCACTACAAGCACCGTTTCCAAATAGCTACCGTGGCCACTCCCATCCACGCCCATCCATATCCTATCTGCTTAATCTGAACAGATAAATGAAGCAGCAATGTCTCGGAGTTACAAAGGTATTATGAATACTTTATTCCGGTACAGCTACTGAAGTGTGTGCAGATGTTGAAATACGAGCGAAGGTGGCTAAATGAATTGATTGGAGCAAAAAGGCCAAAACAATCATTTTCGTATCACTTCAAGAAGTGCTATGTAGTATGACTTATAACTAGATGTACGACCTTACCAGCTTTCGACACAAATAAACACAGTGCACTTCGTCCCATAGTGTAGGTCCTTCATGTGCGTAAGCTGAGATCTGTGACTGGATTATAAGGGTGTTTGACTGATATCTCATTCAGAACTTTACAGGTAGGACTCTTATGAACAAGATAAACCTCCCGCTTGCCCTTATAGTGAACTTGTAGGACCTTATAGTGAACTTATAGTGAACTTTACAGGTAGGACTCTTATGAACAAGACCTCCCGCTTAAACCTAGGACTCCGATAAACCTTGCTTGCACTTATAGTGAACTTTACAGGTAGGACTCTTATGAACAAGATAAACCTCCCGCTTGCACTTATAGTGAACTTTACAGGTAGGACTCTTATGAACAAGATAAACCTCCCGCTTGCACTTATAGTGAACTTTACAGGTAGGACTCTTATGAACAAGATAAACCTCCCGCTTGCACTTATAGTGAACTTTACAGGTAGGACTCTTATGAACAAGATAAACCTCCCGCTTGCACTTATAGTGAACTTTACAGGTAGGACTCTTATGAACAAGATAAACCTCCCGCTTGCACTTATAGTGAACTTTACAGGTAGGACTCTTATGAACAAGATAAACCTCCCGCTTGCACTTATAGTGAACTTTACAGGTAGGACTCTTATGAACAAGATAAACCTCCCGCTTGCACTTATAGTGAACTTTACAGGTAGGACTCTTATGAACAAGATAAACATCCCGCTTGCACTTATAGTGCAAACAAACCACTACTCCACGAGATATATATCAAACAAGAGAAAGATGTTGTAATGTTATTTCGAGAGTGTACTGGGATGGTTAATATCCTATATTGTGAATAAACATTGTATGCAGCAAGCCGTAATGTGATTAATATGTAGTGTTTATACTTAATACAGAGTATTTACATCCTAAAATGAGCAAAATAATATTTAATCTCTTACTTATGTATTGTAGTTCTTACATTTGTCAACCAAATAGCTATATGTTCAATCCACACTAACGGTATCTTAGCATTGGTTCATTTCCATGAATGAGCCTATCAGTGTTTACTTTTTCACAAAGGCTTATATATGGACGGTCCTCGATGAATGTCATTGCTGTTTATTTCTCCAAAATTTCCTTATGAAAGGCATTAGACACGTCCCGTACAGATAAAGATTTCTGGTATCTTGTGATTCCTCTTTGGGTTATAGTTAACCCAGTAAAATGTCCATGTCCCCAATCGTCAATTCTGTTTGGATTATAGTCAAAGAAGTACTATGTCCATGTCCGCGGGCGGTGGGGTAGCCTAGTGGTTAAAGCGTTGGCTCGTCACGCCGAAGACCCGGGTTCGAATCCCCACATGGGCACAATGTTTGAAGCCCATTTCTGGTGTCCCCCGCCGTGATGTTGCTGGAATATTGCTAAAAGCAGCGTAAAACCAAACTCAGTCAGTCAGTCAGTCAGTCCATGTCCGCAATAGTCAATTCTGTCTGGTAAATAGTTAACCCAGTAATATGTCCATGTCCAACAATCGCCAATTCTGTTTTGGCTATAGGTAACCCAGTAATATGTCCATATCCCCAATCGTCAATTCTATTTGTGTTATAGTTAACCCAGTAATATGTCCATATCCCCAATCGTCAATTCTATTTGTGTTATAGTTAACCCAGTAATATGTCCATATCCCCAATCGTCAATTCTGTTTGGATTATTGCTAACCCAGTAATATGTCCATGTCCCTAATCGTCAATTCTATTTGTGTTATAGTTAACCCAGTAATATGTCCATGTCCTCAATTGTCAATGCTGTTTGGTTATATTTAACCCAATAATATGCCCATGTCCCCAATCGTCAATTCTGTTCGGATTATAGTTAACCCAATAATATGGACATGTCCCCCCCAATCGTCAATCCTGTTTGTGTTATAGTTAACCCAGTAATATATCCACGTCCCCAATCGTCAATTCTGTTTGGATTATAGTTAACCCAGTAATATATGCATGTGCCCAATCGGCAATTCTAGCTTGATCTCTCATAGACCAAACATTTGCATGTATGTAAATTTACTACCCCCAACGGATACCTTACAGTGAACTCATATCAGCATATCAAATTCAGCTTATATAATACAATACATGAGTAAAAGCTTAAAATACATGAAAGTCATTACAATTACTGTCTAAACGTGTGTTGGTGTCGACAGAAGGCCTCATACTCATCTTTTGGCAATATTTCAATTTAGACAGTTGTATGGATCTGAACATTTCTTTACCTCCTCCCCGCCATATAGCTGGGATATATTAATGACAGACAAACACACAAACAATACTTACCTTCTCTGTAACTAACGTGACAAGACGTGTACCTCAGAAACACTGCCATGCACAGCTGAGATGTAGTAAACATATCGCCCTGCAGATTTCCTAAGCACTATAATATATCGCCCTGCGGAGTTATGAAGCACTATAATATCTCTGCCTGCAGATTTCCTAAGCACTATAATCTGATCCCTGCAGATTTCATAAGCTTTATAATATGTCGCCCTGAAGATTAATGAAGCACTATAATATATCGCCCTGCACATTTCTTAAGCACTATAAAGTATGAGCACAGTGAAACTATCAACGTATTTGCAAATACGGTTTCTACGCCTATTTTGTTGCTAATAGCAAAGCGTGAAAATAATAACATTTTGTATTTATTATAGTTTGTTCCAATGTGCTTGTCTGAATATTTTAAGAACTGTAAACTTGGAATGTGTTTTTATATAATTTCTCTGTTACACATAAAGTACATTAAGATTATAGTGTGTCTGGTTCCCTTCCGTAATGGAAAATAACCATACATCACTTGTGTCACTTTCACGCGCATCGCAAATTACATATGGATTCTGTATGCCTCGCACACCATCAATAAAGGTATTGTTTCCTAAGTTGTGAATTCATACGTAAGTGATATTTGTACTCAACTAAATATTATACAGTCACACGTTTCTCCATCTATAGTTTGACCGCCTCGTGATAATATCACGTTAAAATGGATTCTTATGGAATGTTATCTTATACATTTTTGTTTATGTTCTATAATCCGATATTATCACTTCAAGCCTGGATAGATACTCTAAAATAAGGTTGAAAACTGCCAATGGCAATGTGCGGGTATAAGGATAGATTGAAAGGTGGCAACATTTCATCATATTGTTTTCTTTATTGCATGTTTGATCGTGATTCTTTGAACCAGAATACCCTGTATCGCTATTTAGTGCTGCAGCTTGGCATTTATTCCACTTCTAGATGTCTATGTTGCAATCAAGTCCAGCTGGCAGTAAGATACCAAGACAGACACATTCGGCTTAGCCTCAACTCAAAGGCAACCCACAATCTCAGAATCGATATACATGTACAATATTTAATGTAAGGAATATGGCGATACTTACAAACCTTGAGTGTATTAGTGAGTGGAATGCAAATGATGATAACTCCGTTATTGCATAGTGGATAGGCCACTAGAAAATATGGTCAAAAGTAGTTTCATAGTGGAAGGTTGTCAATTAATTAGCTTTCCCTTGATTCGTGTCGTGAGAGAGGTGCCGTGCTAGAAGCGTAACATTCCGTCTCATCACCCCCGAATAAAAAGCATATAATAAAGACCCTGAAAACACCAATCTAAAAACCAATTTGCCTTGTGTGAGACGTAGCGCATAAAGGTCAAGGCCACAAGAATTATGGTCCACATCACAAGAACTGATGCCGTTCTTTGGACATATCAAACTGATACATACACACTTGATCGTCAGAAGTTTCCTCCCTGACAATAGTATAAAAGGAACGTACCTGGAAGTACTCTGGTTGCTCCATCAAACCTATCTTTGAGGACGGCCCCAACATTCCTGAAAGTAGGGAGTCTCATCCAGCACGTCTTGATGGTGCAGCTTCCCGACATGCCGTGACATTTACATTCCTGCTTCAGTCCCGAGGTGACGTGCTGAAACACACCATGGACAGTTGAACATGAATGGTTGTATGATGTATGCAGTGGACGGACGTATAAAGTAGTAACTATCTTTGACCTGCACACACCGTATTTTAGTGTATTATCTTCTCTACGCCGCTCCCAGAATCATCTAGTCATCCCCCTAAGATATCCTCTCTCTTTCATTCTTCTCATCACTTCCCATCATCACCACACTCTAAACATCATCATTCCACTCTCCCTACACAAAACATCATCACTGCACTCTGCCTACACAAAACATCATCATTGCAATCTCCCTACACAAAACATCATCATCACACTCTCCCTACACAAAACATCATCATCACAATCTCCCTTCACAAAACATCATCATCGCACTCTCCCTACACTTGCCATAATCATTGCACTCTCCCTACACTTCCCATCATCATCTCACTCTCCCTTCACAAAACATAATCATCACACTCTCCCTACACTTCCCATCATCATCTCACTCTCCCTATAAAGAACATCATCATCACACTCTCCATACACTTCCCGTCATCATCACACTCTCCCTACACTTCCCGTCATCATCACACTCTCCCTATAAAGAACATCATCATCACGCTCTCCCTACACTTCCCATCATCATCACACTCTCCCTATAAAGAACATCATCATCACGCTCTCCCTACACTTCCCGTCATCATCACACTCTCCCTATAAAGAACATCATCATCACGCTCTCCCTACACTTCCCATCATCATCACGCTCTCCCTACACTTCCCATCATCATCACACTCTCCCTATAAAGAACATCATCATCACTCTCCTACTCTCATCCTACACTTCCCGTCATCATCACACTCTCCCTACACTTCCCGTCATCATCACACTCTCCCTATCAAAAAACATCATCATCACACTCTCCCTACACAAAACATCATCATTGCACTCTCCCTACACAAAACATCATCATTGCTTCATCACGCTCTCCCTACACTAAAATTTCATCACTCTCCCTACACTTCCCGTCATCATCACACTCTCTCTATAAAAAACATCATCATCGCAATCTCCCTTCACAAAACATCATCATCTCACTCTTTCTACACTTCCCATCATTATCGCACTCTCCTACACAAAACATCATCATCGCAATCTCCCTACACAAAACATCATCATCGCACTCTCCTACACAAAACATCATCATCATCATCATCTCTCCTTCACAAAACATCATCATCGCACTCTCCTACACTACATCTTGCCATAATCATCCTCACTAACATCATCTCCACTTCCATCATCATCGCACTCCTTCACAAAACATCATCATCGCACTCTCCTACACAAAACATCATCATCGCACTCTCCTACACTAACATCATCATCATCTCTCTATACTCTCCTCGAAACATCATCGACATCATCATCGCACATCTCCCTCATCATCATCTCCTCTCACAAACATCATCATCGCACGCTCTCCATCCTACCACTAACATTTCATCCATCCACTTCTCCATCATCATCATCGCACTCTCCTCCTACACAAAACATCATCATCGCACTCTCCCTACACAAACATCATCATCGCATCTCCACTCAAACATTTCATCTTTCCACTTCTCATCATCGCATCCATCCACTAACATTCCATCATTCCACTTCCCGTCACATCATCATCCATCATCTCTCCCTCCACTTCCCATCAAAACATCATCCATCCTACGCTCATCCCTACACAAAACATCATCATCGCACTCTCCCTACACTAACATTTCATCATTCCACTTCCCATCATCATCGCACTCTCCCTACACGAAACATCATCATCGCACTCTCCCTATACTTATCATCATCATCGCGCTCTCCCTACACAAAACATCATCATCGCACTCTCCCTACACTAACATTTCATCATTCCACTTCCCGTCATCATCGCACTCTCCCTACACGAAACATCATCATTGCACTCTCCATACACGAAACATCATCACATTCTCCCTACAAAAAACATCATCATCGCACTTTCCCTACACAAAACATCATCATCGCACTCTCCCTACACTAAAATAAAATCATTCCACTTCCCATCATCATCGCACTCTCCCTACAAAAAGCATCATCATTCCACTCTCCCTACACATCCCATCATCGTTGCTCTCTCCCTACACTTCCCATCATCATCGCACTCTCCCTACACTAAAACATCATCATTCCACCCTCCTTTCACTTCACATCATCATCATCATCATCATCATCATCATCATCATCATCATCATCATCATCATCATCATCATGTGTGCGAGGGTAGTAGTGTGAGTGGGTGTGTGTGCGAGGATAATAGTGTGAGTGGGCGTGTCTGCGAGGATAATAGTGTGAGTGGGCATGTCTGCGAGGATATTAGTATGAGTGGGCATGTGTGCGAGGATAATAGTGTGAGTGGGCATGTGTGCAAGGATAATAGTGTGAGTGGGAATGTGTGCAAGGATAATAGTGTGAGTGGGCATGTGTACAAGGATAATAGTGTGAGTGGGCGTTTGGGCGAGGATAATAGTGTGCATGGGCATGTGTGCATGGATAATAGTGTGAGTGGGCGTGTCTTCGTGGATGGTTGGTGTGAGTGTTCGTGTCTGTGAGGATAATAGTGTGAGTGGGCATGTCTGCGAGGATAATAGTGTGAGTGGGCATGTCTGCGAAGATAAGAGTGTGAGTGGGCATGTGTGCGAGGATAATAGTGTGCGTGGGCATATCTGCGTGGGTAATAGTGTCAGTGTGCATGGCTGCGAGGATATTAGTATGAGTGGGCATGTGTGCGAGGATAATAGTGTGAGTGGGCGTGTCTGCGAGGATAATAGTGTGAGCTAACGTGTCTGAGAGGATAATATTGTGAGGAGGCGTGTCTGCGTGGATAACAGTTTGAGTGGGCATGTCTACGAGGATAACAGTGTGCGTGGGCATGTGTGCGAGGATAATAGTGAGCGTGGGCATGTCTGCGTGGGTAATAGTGTGCGTGGGCATGTCTACGAGGATAACAGTGTGCGTGGGCATGTCTGTGTAGATAACAGTGTGCGTGGGCATGTCTGCGTGGGTAATAGTGTCATGGATGTTGGAGAGAGTGGGCGTGTCTGTGTGGATGGTTGGTGTGAGTGGGCGTGTCTGTGTGGATGGTTGATGTAAGTGGGCGTGTCTGCGTGGATGTTGGTGTGAGTGGGCATGTCTGTATGGGTGATTGGTGTGAGTGGGCATGTCTGTGTGGATGTTGGTGTGAGTGGGCATGTCTGTGTGGGTGATTTTATGTGAGTGGGCATGTCTGTGTGGATGTTGGTGTGAGTGGGCGTGTCTGTGTGGATAGCTGGCGTGAATGGACGTGTCTGCGTGGGTGTCGGTGTGAGTGTGCGTGTCTGTGTGGATGGTTGGTGTGAGTGGGCATGTCTGTGTAGATGGTTGGTGTGAGTGGGCATGTGTGTGTGGATGTTTGTGTGCGTGGGCGTGTCTGTTTGATGGTTGGTGTGAGTTGGCGTGTCTGCGTGGATGTTGGCGTGAGTGGGCGTGTCTGTGTGGATGGTTGGTGTGAGTGGGCATGTCTGTGTGGGTGGTTGGTGAGAGTAGGGATATGAGGTTGCATGGTAGGATGAGAAAAGAACTCAAAGTTTCTTTTTGTGCATTAGTGGATATGTTTTTTCATGGGAGCTGTGTGGTAGTGGTTGTTTGAACGAGAGTGGGCGTGGCTTGTGGTTCTCTGTGAGAATGAGTGTGAGTATTCTCATGTCACCAGCAAGTTGAAAGGGAGCACGAGGCAAGTCAGAGGTGACACATGTGTAAACAAGACCTTATCAAATGCCGCATTTGATCGGCAAATTACCTGTTATCAACGAGGCCATATCTCTGAAGTAGCCACTTTCCTGTCACTCGGCATTGTTTCAAACAATTCTAACAAGACGACACTCAAATATTAACAGAGAACGTAGACGAAGTGAGCTCGGCAACGCCAGAGAAGACTGTAGATTAAGACAAATTTATGAGCTTTAATTAATGTGGATGTGAGTACTGAGGCTTATTTCATTGCGGGGCAATAAACTGATGACGGCCTGTGTCGTGTTTGTGACAAGTCAGTGGGGTCGGCTCGCACACTGGAGGTCCATCGCCTCCGGGTATAGATACAAGATCGTTCACTTGATTGCAAGGAGTGATACACTCCTCTCCGTTAATGTAGTGATGCCGATTGTCGCGCTTCAGATAGCCAACATAACAAACATGTAGTCAATCATTCAAGATGCACTTACCTATAAAGTTCACCCATTATACATAGCACACAAATTGGTACTTTTCTCGTTTCATCTCGGTGACAGACACGCATGCGACTAGTATTTTACCCTTTTACCCTTTTCAGGTCATGACCACGCTCATATGTGCATACTTAGAAGATCGTCTTCTCCATGGCATTCGTTACTAAAACTGTTCAAGGCTATGTTACTGATCACATTCGTGGAGTGAAGGAAGGATTAGAATGTCACAAAAGTGAACTAAATACTGAAACAATAAAATATTGATAAGTTGGTGTGGTCCATGACAGGCAGCCGTCTACTCACCACTCGCCCAGCTTCGTTGTTGTGTAGGTTGATCATGTAACGGAAATCCCAACCCTTCTCAATAACGTCAACAAACCGTCTGGAAAACTTGTGTCCAAACTTTGCGTTATCACTGCATCCGCTCCATTCCCAGTCCTTCCCACTTGGAATTTTATTGTGTGCATAATCACATGTGCATGTGTGAACACTTCCTTCCGAGCACGCCCTGGCTATGGAGTGGGACACTGCTGCACTGGTAACGGCGTAGATGAAGGCCGACTCCCGACAACCTACAATAATCACAGTTATTGGCTTTTGTTAGTATAGGGTAAAACAACAGTATCTTGCTACATTATGTGTTTCCCATAGCATGTCCACTTACTAACAATGATGTCCATCTTTACAATAAGAAATCTACAGAATGTTATTTGCAGCGTATTTCTTATAAGTGCTACAGTATATTCAAACACTGGGGTAAGCAGTCGTATCGTTGGGCTTCTCGAGTATATACATGTATATATATATCACTGCGTGGTGTTTAGTAGCTTACTGATGCTTTGAGAAAGGTTTGTTTTCAATTTGCATTCATATATATGAGAGTCATTCTCAAACTTCGTGCATATTTATGGTGTATGTATTTACTCGTCAAACGTAAGGCAAGAATTGTTTTATGGTAATCGATTTATCTCAGTTTATTGTACACTTTACAGAAACATACTTGGGGAAAAATATTTTGATATTCATTTTCTCACACACACACACACACACACACACACACACACACACACACACACACACACACACACACACACACACACACACACACACACACACACACACACACACACACACACACACACACACACCACCACCACCACCACCACCACCACACACACACCACACACCCAATTTCACTCAATTTTCATGTGTCACAACTCCGGTTCAGTTGTGCAGTTTGATTTTTTTTGTTCTTCTTCATGCTTTTCAAAAGAAATTTTTAACATATCATAATTACTGATGTTACAGCTATATGATTGTCGTGGTTTGGCCTTTTTTCGTATGGAAAAGCATTTTGTAATAAAGGTCAAACTTTGTCACAAGGTTTTAAAAAAAGAATTGCAATATTTTTTACTCCCTGGACTGTCTGTTATTCTGCTTCCTGTTTGCAAGCAACGGCAGTGAGGAAGCATGGCTGTCAAACCCTGACACAAGTTAAAAAGTGAGTACAAAGTGTATCAGAGATCTTTGCCTGTCTTAACCGTTACGGTAGCTACCCCCTGAAACCAATTAATGTTGTGAAGCCAAACAACACCAAGTACCTCAGACAGTCGGGGAAATCATTGAAATCATGTGCTCAGTAAACTTTGGGGACCAGTTATTGTTTTAAAAGTGATATTGTTAGTGGCTGTCACTACCGTTACGGTCACTGCCGTTATCATTTGTTTTGTTACGGCAAGGACGGATTTTGTGACGGCAGTGACATTTTTCTAATTTAATGTTGTTTGTATCTAAAGTTTCAATTCAAAGATATCAAACGTTTAGGAATCATATTTAACATAAAATGTTTGCATCAAATGAATAAAATCAATAAGCATATAACTATGATTTTCTTGTTACGGTAAGGACAGGGTAGTGTAACGGTTGTGAGAAAGACGAAAATGGGCTCTGACAGGGCCGTTACGGTAGTGACATATGCCGTCACAATGTCACTGCCATAACATGCAGTCTTTACCTGTTTTTTACATGACATGGACATCTAATTAAATCCTATTACATATTCTTCACACATTCTAAAATAAATGACATGATAAATTTCATTAAATGAGCTTTTAAAGTAAACATAACTGGCTATTTATAAAAATGTCACTACCGTTTTTGTGTCACTACCGCAACAATTAATGTTAATGTCCATGCCATAACATTATCATTTTCCTTATTTGATTTAAGTTGATTTATCTGTTTATGTCTAGAATGTGTAGTGCAAGTATGTTTGGTAGTAGAGCTTCAAGTAAGCATTATATAATTCATATTTTCATTTTGAATTTTTTGCTACATATCACTTTATATTTGCAAATCAGAAATGAAAGGAATTGTTTGGCTTGCTGGCCTCTTTTAAGCAATAAACATAAAATTGCAAAACTCATTGGCCATGTTATATAGTAAAACTAGATATTCTAGTATATATGTACATCAAACGATTTCATCTGTGCATTATTACTGTTCAAAATGACGTTACAAATTTTGTAACGGTAGTGACGCAGTTTCGAGAAATCTGATCGACAGTAAAATGCAAGACTACACTGAAATGTATTCGTAGATACAAGGCATTGACTATATACTAGTATATAAACATCCTATATATTCAAATTCTAATGACTCGCATATTTATATGGAACCCACATTACTTTATATTAATTATTTTAGCCTTGTCATATCCATGCAAGAATTATCAATTTCATTTGGAGTCAACTTTTACCAAACGTATCTTAGAGGAAAAGCTATTGGGTTTCAGCAAGACCAGTGATAGTTGTATGAGCTTCCAACTACTACACCCTCTAGACTGTTATCAGATGTATATCCGACACTTGTGGGGAATATATTTAAATAAATCATACAGGATATTAATAGCGAATGGTATCGTTGAGAATTAATGAACGGTAAATCAACATGATTTCCCCAACAGGTTAATACTTTCCTTTATACTTTTGGTGCAGACAGAAATTCGGAAATATGCTTTTTTCTGAAGTAAGGCGGCAAATCTATCGTGTCTCACAGACCCGTAACAAAACGGCTATAAAATCGTATCAGAATATTCAGGAACTGTTCGCAACATTACTGTGAGTGTTGCTAGCTATATTATTTTCCATCAGTTGTATATATTTTTACATGGCCCGAGTTAGCCTTTACTTAGTCTATTTATGTATGCATATATACAGAGACATACATCAACCGATATCAAAAACTATGGTATGGGATATGACGTTCACAGATCAATAACTTAAAAATAATCGAATGTGACGATTTCAAGCAAACACGGAATATTCTTAACATGAACTCACTTCGATAGCTATTACAGAAAGAGGATACAGTGACACTCAGACTGCCACATATTTTCCTTTACAAGGTAATATATATACATATAAATACCTCAGGTTACAGAACTATATCAAAACGACAACAGTGTGATTTACAGATTATCTCTCAAATGTGGCGAGAGAATGCTGCCATGGAATGTATCTATAGTCACCTGGTTTGGATGCTGCAATGGAATGTATCTACAGTCACCTGGTGTGGATGCTGCCATGGAATGTATCTACAGACACCTGGTTTGGATGGTGCCATCGAATGTATCTATAGTCACCTGGTGTGGATGCTGCCATGGAATGTATCTATAGTCACCTGGTGTGGATGGTGCCATGGAATGTATCTATAGTCACCTGGTGTGAATGGTGCCATGGAATGTATCTACAGTCACCTGGTTTGGATGGTGCCATGGAATGTATCTACAGTCACCTGGTGTGGATGCTGCCATGGAATGTATCTACAGACACCTGGTTTGGATGCTGCCATGGAATGTATCTATAGTCACCTGGTGTGGATGCTGCCATGGAATGTATCTACAGTCACCTGGTTTGGATGCTGCCATGGAATGTATCTACAGTCACCTGGTGTGGATGGTGCCATGGAATGTATCTACAGTCACCTGGTGTGGATGGTGCCATGGAATGTATCTATAGTCACCTGGTGTGGATGGTGCCATGGGATGTATCTACAGTCACCTGGTGTGGATGGTGCCATGGAATGTATCTACAGTCACCTGGTGTGGATGCTGCCATGGAATGTATCTATAGTCACCTGGTTTGGATGCTGCCATGGAATGTATCTACAGACACCTGGTGTGGATGGTGCCATGGAATGTATCTATAGTCACCTGGTGTGGATGGTGCCATGGAATGTATCTACAGTCACCTGGTGTGGATGCTGCCATGGAATGTATCTACAGTCACCTGGTGTGGATGCTGCCATGGAATGTATCTATAGTCACCTGGTGTGGATGCTGCCATGGAATGTATCTACAGTCACCTGGTTTGGATGCTACCATGGAATGTATCTACAGTCACCTGGTTTGGATGCTGCCATGGAATGTATCTATAGTCACCTGGTTTGGATGCTGCCATGGAATGTATCTATAGTCACCTGGTTTGGATGCTGCCATGGAATGTATCTACAGTCACCTGGTGTGGATGCTGCCATGGAATGTATCTACAGTCACCTGGTTTGGATGCTGCCATGGAATGTATCTACAGTCACCTGGTGTGGATGGTACCATGGAATGTATCTACAGTCACCTGGTTTGGATGCTGCCATGGAATGTATCTATAGTCACCTGGTTTGGATGCTGCCATGGAATGTATCTACAGTCACCTGGTTTGGATGCTGCCATGGAATGTATCTATAGTCACCTGGTTTGGATGCTGCCATGGAATGTATCTACAGTCACCTGGTTTGGATGCTGCCATGGAATGTATCTATAGTCACCTGGTTTGGATGCTGCCATGGAATGTATCTACAGTCACCTGGTTTGGATGCTGCCATGGAATGTATCTACAGACACCTGGTTTGGATGCTGCCATGGAATGTATCTATAGTCACCTGGTGTGGATGCTGCCATGGAATGTATCTACAGTCACCTGGTTTGGATGCTGCCATGGAATGTATCTATAGTCACCTGGTGTGGATGGATGAATGTATCTACAGTCACCTGGTGTGGATGGTGCCATGGAATGTATCTATAGTCACCTGGTGTGGATGGTGCCATGGGATGTATCTACAGTCACCTGGTGTGGATGGTGCCATGGAATGTATCTACAGTCACCTGGTGTGGATGCTGCCATGGAATGTATCTATAGTCACCTGGTTTGGATGCTGCCATGGAATGTATCTACAGACACCTGGTGTGGATGGTGCCATGGAATGTATCTATAGTCACCTGGTGTGGATGGTGCCATGGAATGTATCTACAGTCACCTGGTGTGGATGCTGCCATGGAATGTATCTACAGTCACCTGGTGTGGATGCTGCCATGGAATGTATCTATAGTCACCTGGTGTGGATGCTGCCATGGAATGTATCTACAGTCACCTGGTTTGGATGGTACCATGGAATGTATCTACAGTCACCTGGTTTGGATGCTGCCATGGAATGTATCTATAGTCACCTGGTTTGGATGCTGCCATGGAATGTATCTATAGTCACCTGGTTTGGATGCTGCCATGGAATGTATCTACAG